CTCCCTATGGGATGCACACATAATCATGTTAAGTGATGTACGCTGTAAGTCAATAATTCTTGTCTTACAGTTATTTTAAGCTGAGTGATTGCCCAGCCAGTGTGACAAAAAGACAGAAGGTTTCAGTCATCGCCCAGATATTCGAGCTCCAATTAGTAGTCTTCATTCCTGGGCCGTCTCGAGCTTCAAATCCTGTTCGGCCATTGGTCTCTTCAATCTATTAACCTCAAAGTGCACACATTTTGTGAACTTTGGTGTTTCACTGTGTCATGGGAGTTAAGCCAAAAAACCCTCCCGTGAAATTTGAACCTTAAAGCGTCAAGCTATTTGCAAGCAAAGCAGAAAAAGTAACGACCATCTTTTAATAAAATAACATCCAGAATGGGTATACTCTCATTTATTTCGGACATAACAGACGGTAGCTCTACTGGCTGCTGCTGTCACGAGTGCCACACCACGGCTGTCTGTCAAAGTGCCGGCATTTTTTGTAAACTCGTCAAGCAGCAGGAAGTGCAAACCTGACACTCTCGGACAACTGCAGATATCTGGGAGCTGAAATAACCAGAATGGGAGGGGGGGGGGGGGGGGGGGGGGAGGGTGTAGAAGTCTTCGGGCAATATGACGCACCAAGATCAAGGTCCTATGCACGACACCGGTCCGAGACTTGGAATAGATTGACACACGGGGCATCACTGATGTAACCTGCATAATTAATTAGAACACTCTCGTAAAAAAATTTGAGTAGATAGCATGACAAAAAACCTTGAGACTGCGAGTAAAAACGACACACACACTAAATTATATTTTTAGATACCTGTCATTTTACGTGTTCATTTTCCTGCATCTGTGTTTTTTTCCTTGTGCGTATTATTTACCAGTTCCTTTGCGCCCTTACAATCAGTTCATGAGTGACTAGTTCAAGCTAAAACCTTGAGCAGGGACCATCATGTTCAAGGACAGTTTCCATGCAACATTCACCGTCTGAAAATACTGTGCCATCTAGAACTTCTCCCATCATACAAATTCTCAATATCTGTGGTGTGCTGAAAGCATCTAGAAAATGGAGAGAAACATATTACTAGATAGGTGTAGATTACTTTGAATGCCCTAAAATGTTGGGACATCAAGCAAGCTTGCGCCGCGATTATAGGTGCTCGCGAAATTCCACTGTGTCGTGCTACAAAAGAGAAATTTGGAGCAGAAGAGAAAAATGTCGAGGAAGTAGGTCCAAGGAGAAGTAGGCTAAAAAGTGGAAGAAGAGATGTTCTTGTTCGGCGGTAACCCGACCAGGTGGAAGCACACCCGGCGACGTACCGAGGGTGCTACTGTCGGGTGAAGCATCAGCTTGGCGGTGTGCAAACCAAGGCGTCAACATCCGGCATGAACGAGGCATTCGGCAGCGACCCTAAGTAGCCGCTGGTGGGAACGATTAACGACTTCGGCGGTGTCCCTGAGCAGAACATCTCAGACCAGCCTCAGGGAACACCCAAGGAACATCACTGGGAAGGACTTGGGCGGTGTCCCGGAACAGAGCATTCCAGACCATCACCAAGGAACACAAGGAACATCACTCATCAACAACCAAGCTCTGCTGGAAACCAGACAGCACCAAGACCTTCAACCACACCACGACGGACTGAAAGTGAGACAGCTTCTGACTTGTACATTTGTGTATAACTGGAATGTTTATATATATATATATATATATATATATATATATATATATATATATATATATATATATATATATATATATATACATATCTTGCTCAAAGCTCACGGTGTGACCAAATACCTCCTTCGGCGGTTTGACCTGAACCCATAACATCACACACTGCAACGAATTTATATTAAATACTATTTTTTGCAGCAACTAATTTGCTGAATTGAACCGAATGTTTGAATGGACGGTAAAAGCAGCACCCGTAGCACGTCATAAATTTATTCGGGCACGTCCCAGACGTGGTGGCGGACTCCTTATTCATACAAAACTGCGCACAGGTCATGCACGCTTTCGGATTCCCATATGTCAAGCAAACATACGTAATATTACTGTTTCTATTAGTAGTATAACGAAAGAACACTAGTCTGACGACAAATTACTATTAATATACTCTTCGCTTACGGCTAAATCACTCATTGAACAGGGCACTAACTACGGAGAGAAATTACACGTACAGTGGTCGTGACGCCGGATGGCCGGTAACTCATCCGCAAAAGTTAGCACTATCGTGAACCCAAATACAGGGTCCACGGCAATTTCGATGTGCCCTGACGTCAACACTTCGTAGTATGTATACTTGCACTACCAAGACTAAGGGTAGAACAATATATTTTGTGCTACCTCTAGAAGTATCCCAGCATTGTATGCTACAGCTGTAAATATCCCAGTGAAACACCAGCGAAGCTGAGTGTTTCGTTGGAATATCCAAAATCGACGCGGTAACTACACGACACCAACACAGCCTTGTATGCATACCGGTTAAGAGGTAAAATGAACATGATCCAGCAGGAGACAGGCGTTGCGCCACAGCCTCGTTGGCCTCACCACTGTGCTGTCGACGACGCGGTAGCATAATCAATTTCGAATTACATTTTGCCAGTGGCAGATACTCGTAAAACATTCTTTTTTTCCTGTCACAAACCCCAAGAAACACAAGCGAGCCTTGTTCATGATACAAAAAGGCACCAATCACTAAAATGAGACGGAGTCCATCGGCTTCAAACCGAAAGAGACAGTCGATGAAGCGTCTTTTTTTTTCGACAACAGAACAAGGAAAAAAACGACATCTCCGAAGGGGGCGGCGCACGCGGTTTTCTGTAGCCGCCCTCATTTTCATTGTTTAATTTCGTCATTTCAGTCTCTAGCAAAGTAGCACACTGCCTCGGCCCACGTTTGGGCCAGACTGGCGTGACCTAGAGCTAACTTGGCTCAAGCCTGGCACGAGCTTATGAGCCGGGGACGCGTGCTGCTAGGGTATTAATCTGGTGTTCCTCAAGGATCGGTACTGGTACCTTTCCTATGTTTCATTCACATGAATGATATAACTCAAAACGTTACTGTAAGAACCCGCCTATTTGCTGATGATTGTATACTCTACTCATAAATTAAAAACGAGCAGGATCAAATCGACCTCAACAATGCACTTCAACGCATTGTACATTGGCGTCACGACTGGTAGATGATATTAAATTTAGATATAACTGTATCTATGAGCACAACTAGTAAACAGCAACCCGAATCGTTTTCCTCTCACATAAACCCCTCGCGAAAGTCACAGAGTCAAGTGACTTAGCTTTCATATAAGCCATGATCTCAGTTGAGAATTACACATCGACTCATAACCCAGAGAGCAGGAAATAAAGCTTAATTTTATAAACAAAAACTTTAAAAAGGAGATCAACTGAGATGATATTATCAGCCTACAAAACACTGGTCCGCCCTATGCTTGAGCACACCGCAGTCGTCTGGTTCGTATACATGGCCTCTGGGGTTAGCAAGTTAGAATGGAAGCAAATAATGACTGCAAGGTTTATACAAGGTATATGTATAGATGGTAGCGAAGCTTCCATAGAAGCCCATAGGCGCAAAAAATGGCGGCTCATGGGGCGCAGCGCCATCTGTTAGTTGCGCGGCATTGTCATTAGTCATGCTCGCCCGTGACGTACAGGAAGTGACGCTTTATTAAAAAGGAACAAAGAAACACGATATGACGCATTTTCCTCAAGATTTTGACGTCACGATTGTTTTCGGCGCGAAATTTAAATGATTTTCGCCGGTGGCGCGAAATTTAAAGTTTTTCAGATGTTCTACATGCCTGCTACCGTCCTCCCAACCTTGCTTCACGCATAATAGCCTTGTTTGTATCAGTCACTCCCATGTAATCCCTCTTCCAAAAGAACCAGTTTTTTATCAGTTCTGGGAACCACCAATAAGTTACTATCTTCAACTAAGCAGTGTGTTACAGCACGCCTATGAAGGCGTACTTATTATTGTAATACCGGCTTGTTCGCCAAGAAAGACAAAAAGGCACAAGCTTGGTTTACACAGTTTATTATATACAAACGTACAACACCACCACTGAACACTTGAAGATAGATATGGCATTAAAAACGAAGTGAAATAAGGTCGGGACAACCCTATGCAAGCACTTAATACTCTCAACGGGAGGCACGTTTACGCATTTATCTTGTACTGTTCACATTGAGAGCTCGTAACTAGATTTAAGTATATCAATCACAGGCGGAGGTGCGGGGCTATGCACGTCTTTTGCATTGAAATGTCCGCATGAATTAATGCTTCAAGAGATTGAAAATTGAGACGTTTCGTTATAGCACATGCGCTCGTCACACACATATTGTGCTCCACAGCTTGGCTATTTATGTGAGGATTAGTACGCAGGAAACTGCCACAAAATGACAGGAAAGAAAGCATTAGAAAAAAGATAATAATTCGCTTTGTGGCAAATTGTTAGCACCATGCTGATTCACTGAGTTACGTTTCATCGCAGTTTGATATACTTTTGTATACCTCACACAACCAAACATTAATCCAGGTTTATGTCTCAAGTCGTCACACTGCACAAGAAAACATCGAGGTCAACGCTTCTTCTCACACACTCCTCAATAATGCACAGGGTGTGTAGGGTGTCTACCAACCTGGAAAACTTAAAATATTTAAGTAAGGCGGATGATATTTAAAGAACAGGGTAATATAAAGGGAACCGTAAAAAAGTGCCTAATCAGTAAAAATGATACGCGAAAGTGGAACGGCAGCGTGCAACGAAGCCCGATGATTGCACAAGGATTTCACGGTGGTGCCGCTGCACTGAATAACGTTGCCCGACATGTCATTAGGCAGCGCAGGCCACTAGGCACTCCCTGAACCGAAGTAACGGTCAACATTTTATCGAAATAGAGAGGAAAACCTTGGGAAAATTGGGAAATTTGGAATAAGTGATTTGGTAGACCCTGTCCCATCATTCAGTGAGCGACGTCATCTAGCACTATACAGCGAGGGTCGAATGAATCTAACATATTTTACTTAGAACGAAAAAATTAGTTTTGCATGCTGTGACACTGAAATTTTGATATTGATTCATTGAAAATTCAAGTTCATCTAGCTGAACCTATACGTTGATTGCACTGTCTGAGCATGCGAAACAAACTTTTATACTTTATTTAAAGTATGATAGATTCATTTGGTCATCGCAGTAGACAGTTTCGGCAAAGCGTGTGATAATTTAAAGGTATGTACTCGCACAATCCGGTATGCCAGCGTGATCGTTGAATGCAACACGTAAGACAAACTAAAGGGACTTCCTGTGGGCATAACGCAAGTGATGTCTCATCTGCACAGCCTCTGGACTCGTTGCTGGGTTTTGCGTCTCACAGCTGCATCAAGGAACTCAGTATTTTTTTACGGGCGAACCAATGAAGCCTCACCCTTGTAAACAAAGCAAATAAATCACCATAGACATCCTCACTGCAGAGTGTCAGCAGCTTTTCGACCTTCTCACGAAGAGTGATGCACAACGCCTTCCCAACGCCTTCTTTCAAAACAAGACTGTCAATTGACGCCACAAAAACCTTCTCACAAGCTTGAACGAAAGAAACAAAGCAAGGTGAGGGGACCGAGAGGCTTCCAAAGTCTCCTTCAGCCGTTCCTATCACACTCAAATACAACAACACTTGACTGTCATCAGAAAAAGTGGCATTCTTGATTTGCAATTCACATTGCTGAGTCACGTTTTGACATGTGTGATATTTGATAAACATTGTTACAAGCCATCCAGCAAAGTAAACCATGTTGTTAAGTGATAATGAAGTGGGATAACTAGAGGATGTGAGGTCAGCTGCACATCGTGGAAGTGAGCTTCCTAGACTATGTGAAGCTGAGGGAGCTGAGAAACCAACCGGAAGAGCCGCTAAAAGAGTTGCCATGTCCTCTTCGCAGTTGCTCTTGTCAGACAGTTTAAACAAGTTGCTAACTAGGAGATGTCTAAAGGCTGCCTGAAACTGCCGGCAAGAGGAATTGGCGTTCGCACCAGACTTTGACCTTATTACGGAGAATGTGTTTTCGAGTGCATCTTGGTTGAGATGGCGAGTCAGGAAGTATCTGAAACCATACTCAGATGTCAGGTGCTCACAAATCAGCATAATCGACCGAATGGTCAAGGAGAATCCGCGAATGCAAGCAGGCTGCCGTGGGCACCCAAGAACGGTAAGGCTTTCGAACATATGAAGGCATTCTTTCAGAAACTCCTTGTGAACAGAGCCTTCGTGCATTGCAGACACATATGCAAAGACGATCCATTTTTTCAATAAACCGGGCCGTGTGGATAGCTTCAACTGGCAGTTGCTGGAAAGTTACCATGGAAAACATTGCAGCAGCACAGTCATTACTGAATATTTGCGCTGCTAGTTTCACTGACATTTTGGAGGCAAAAATCAAATTAAAATGCTTCTCACTGAGCCTTGGCATGGATCGGATTTCAAGCTGTTTGTCTTTTTCGTAAGCTTCCCTGAGGAAAGAGCTTCTCAACGTGTGGTCCCCAACTTGAAAATTGTACTTGAAGAACATATTTCGTAAGCACTTCAGCAGATGTGGAACATCAAATAGAAAAAAAGTGGCTTCTCATTCACAGTTACGTAGGGCTTCTCAGGGGTAACAAGGCCATTAAAAAGAGCAACATTTTGATTGCCTTGGTCACATACGACAGCTACTGGCTCCAGGCCGGCTTTCACAAGCAAATTGTGGCACTGGAAAAGAAGGTCACGCAAAATGTTGGCAGGTGTTCCCCCATGAGCAAAAAAATAGCCAAGTGGCTGCTTCCATGGCGTACGAATGCCTTTAGCGATAAACACAAGAGCTTTGTTTGCAAGGTTATGGCCTCTTCCAGCGTTACTTTCTTCGAGCCCTTCAAACCTGTCCACAGAGGGGTTGTACGAGAGCTCTTTCGTGACGTGCATCTCGTCAAAGGCAATAATGCATGGCTTGACTTCTGGTGAAAAAGAAGCTGCACGTCTTTTGACTAGTTCGAAAACTTCTGGGTAAAAACCAACCCTCAGGGGAACACGCTGAAGCCAAAGCTGTAGCGACCTAACGGATGGGAGCCTCAACAATTGCCTACAGTACCGGTAACCCTTAGGGCTGTGAAAGTACAAGCCCAAGGCAAAGGCTTTGTTCTGGCTGCACCACCGCCTACCGAACCTGCTCGCATTGGTCATCTTCAGCTGAGCTTCCACAAGGGCAGCAACGGCTGGAGAGACGAGGCTGCGTACACTTTCAACTATCTCAGTGACAGTCAGCATATGACGCCGTCGCTGCAGTCGTTGCTGGAGTCTCTTGTTATGTTTCCGAAGCTGTCGAAGTCTGGCCCTCAACACGTCCATCTTCCCCTTGCCCTCGGTGTGGGTGGCACAGGACCCTGCAAGGAGAAAGCAAAAGCATTTATGAAACATTTCGAGAAATAATGAAATAAACAATGTGCCTCCACTGTAGAAAATGTGGAAGTACAAGTAAACCTTGTGCATCATGACGGACACCTACGTTGGTGAGGAACCGCAGAAGTCGAAGACACCGACGCATCATAATCGCTAGGGGAAGGTTCAGGTGCCCACACATCGTTTCCTCCAGACGGCGGGCCATGTCCATCCATCGCGCCTTGCATCGCGTATGTGTGATCCACTACAATAAACAAAACAAAGGAAACAAAGTGACAGAGTGGTTGCAAAAAGCTGAACCAGCTATGACTGGTCAAGTACTACGCAACAAAGTAATCTTCAAAGACTGTCCTAAACAACGCACACTATAAAAACTTACCATGAACTCTGGTTGGAGGGCTAGTCTTCGTGCCAGAGGTCGGAGCCGTGAGACTGCTCCCCACATCTGCAAAGCAATGGCGAGGCAATTAAAAAATCTGTCAAAAACATCAGTCATTGTATTGTTTCAGGAAATTCCTGCGGCATGTGACAAGCTGTAGCCCGTTGCAACCTAAGAACGAAGGGCGAGGGTAGGACGGGCCGGGGAGGAAGAAGCAGACGGAACGCTGGAGAAGAGAGAGGAGAACCTCCTTCTCTCTTTAGCGTTCCGTCTGCTTCCTCCTCCCCGGCCCGTCTTATCCTCGCCCTTCGTTCTCAGGTTGCAACGGACTATAGATTAAAAACATGTTCATACATGTTTTACATGTTTCCCAAAGATGGCTACTACACTACAGTCCGAAATATATAAGAAACAAGGCCTGCAACACTTCTCTGCCAATATGCAATTGCTTTTACCTTCTTCTGTAGTGTGGTACGTGTGACACCGTGATGATGTGGGCCCATCGGTGCTACTGCTGCTGGCCAGTGTGGGCTCGCCCTCGCTAGTCAATTGGCCAGGGCTGCTGCGCTGGACGGCATCTCCGGCACCTATGCAAAGTTAAGCACACATGTAATGTACACTAAAAAAGTTCCCTGTATCTGCATGTAAAATACTTTCTGAATAAGCTCATCTTTTCAAAGTTGGTCAAAAGACCAACTTTTCAGAGAGCTGCGTGTAGTGAAGATATTTGATCACTATGCTTTCAAACTTAGCATAAAGTATAAACAGGAATGTCGCGAGTTAAACCGTTTTTTATTGTCATTATCATCACTTCGAAAAAAAGCTGCAACATATTCCACCCGTCACTCCGATGTTTGGGCAGTAGAAACATCACGAACAGATTATGGCCTTAAAATGAATAAAATAAGCTTGCCAATATTACTGAACACTCTTATGGGCTCTAATTTTGATGTCGAATCTTACAATATCTGTGCGCTTAGGGATTATTTTCTTTATAATTAAACAATCCTTACTGCTGTTGATTAGCTAGAAGATTTTTGCTTTTGTTCTTGTTTCGTTAATTTTTTGCTGTTAAGTATTTTGTATTATATAAATTCTTGTGTATGACTTCCCCAGTGCTGTGTACCTGTGGGGGGCTGAGGACCAGTCAAGCTGCTTGCACAGCTTTTTTCCTCAGCTCCCACCATACTTGTATGGTAAAATAAAGTCAATGTTATTCTCAGTAATAATGAAAACAATATTTCGTGCTCACCCTCAGTGGTCAAATATGCTGGTATTGCATCACGACGCAGCCTTCCTCGGTAAAGAAATGCAGAGGGTTTGAAGTGCCTGGAGCATACCGCTCGTTCCCGCAGCTGCTGTGGTGTCTTGTTCTCTAGGCTTCTGTTCCGGCAGAACTCAACCCAGACCCTCCGCCTGAATGTGAAGCAGTGTATTACTTTACATACCCTTGGCTAAAGTGGACATTTAAGAAAGAAAAGATTACACGATAATGTTAGCGATAAACTAGTGACACCATTGTACTTGGTCTCCCGTCTGGGTCCAGCGAACGCCATGAGCGAGGAGCACACCTCTGTGCCCGTGAGGTTAGATAATTTCACAACGCAGACGATTACATTACTAGATTCCCGAGCACGACATCCACAGCAAGTAGACCTGATAGTCGCCAGCACGTTAGAGGGACGACACCAAACACGTTTCAAGCAGAAAGGATGTTTTAGTGTTATTCACACCATAATATGAAAGTTCGTTAAAACTGAAATGTTCAGTCATTGTTTCTGATTAGGTTTTTGGGGTCACGCAGCCGTTCAGCAGAGATCAAGCAAAGCCGCCACTAATATCTAAGATTAGTTTCGTCTCGCGAAGCTTGGAACGGAGACTGGGCCCAAAAAAGCTCGATCAACGGGTGGTTATTACTAAATGAGCATGCATGAGGGCCCATAAAAGAGGTCAAGAGCTTACCAGACATCACCGGACAACGGACATCAGGACATCACACATAGCTGCAGTGCACACAGCTGCTACAAGCTTCACCTTGCAGCGTCTACAGGAAAACGATGGAGTGTGATGCCAGCGGTGCAGTCATCACTTGGGCATCGCGCTACCGCGCAGCGCCTCTTTACATGGGGCGGGCGTATAGTCCCGACGACAGAGCTTTGAACGCGCCCGTCCGGCGCTCGACGACAAAAGCAACAGAACGGCGCAATAGAATTCAACTAGTCCAGACCGTTCTTTGGAAAACTTAAGACCACGAAGTCGTTTTAAACTATTGCAAAAAGTGAAAGTTCGACGGGAGCTACAGAAACGTAGGCACACTGGCGAACGCAAACAATGCAAACACGAGGCGTATCAGGACTGCGAACTTCTGCCGACGGCGAAACATAGCGACGTTGTAGATGTCGCAACAAGTATGCACAGCATAATACATATTAAACATAACCTGAAAAATTCACCACTCTAAAGATGTTTAAACTAATTTATTGTTAATAAATAATACTTTGATTTAAAGTCAACTATATAAGACACTGAAAGTGTGTCTTTAATATTTTATCAGCTTAGTGTTTGGCCGCGCAAAACATAGTCGCGCTGCAGTAGAGCGGCCTCCAGGGTGATGAAGCTAACGATTGGTTTTGGGCCGCTTTTTTGCTCCACTTTCGCGACCTATATGAATTGACCTTGGTTAATATGTAAAAATTATAGTTGGTATGATTCCTCCTCTGAGCGATGTAAGCGATTGGAAATGTTGTCACTAAAAAAATTGCGAAAGTTGCAATGCTCAAGTCTTGATATGAATTAGCTAAGAGCAACTCCAACGCTCCCACAATTATCTAACCCCTACTTATGAACGGTTTTCAAGGTATAACCATGGTAATCTTTACTAAGATCTTCCAACCCACAATAACTGCTTCAAATATTCCGTTTTGCCTCGCGATACAAATAAATGGAATCACTTGCCGCGAAACAATGCACATTCCACTAGTGTAGAGCATTTTGTGATTAACTTGGAAGTGCAGCTGTCGACATAGGCTTGCATAACATTATATTTATTAGTGAATTAGAAAAAAATAACATTCGGCATGTTGCAGAACTTTAGAACACTCCCAAACAAGATTACTAGTATTCGGAATAAAAAAAAAATGAAAGACTTTTACAACTCCCTCTAATGCCGAATTAGAGCGCAGCTCTTATGGAAGAGGAGGGGAGAGTACGGATGGGACGGTAGGCCTTTGCTGCTGCCTCCTCATGTACTCCTCCCCTGCTCCCCACCTCCTCCCCTCATCTCCTCCCTCCTCCTCCTCTCCTCCTCCATCAGTCAGTGATCAGGATCTCCAGGACATCATGCCGAAAGACTATGCACTCGACAAAAATCTTGGCAGTTGCCTCCGGAAGAGCTTTCGTTCCGACGTATCGTGTCAGGTAATCGGTTGCCTTGAGTCAGCGGAGGGAATAGCCAATCCATTTCGATC